ATAATAATAACCTTTTTGAAAATTGGGGTGTTACACCTGACACCATGAAGGCGTTCCTGACCTTGCATGAATTCTGCACTTCGTAGAATCTTGAACCTTGAAATCTGGGTTCTCCTAAACCCATCCAAATCCATCATAAAGTGTCTTTTCACAATAAAAATGATAAAACAGCCAAATAATGTTCATATAACCACACATGATTATCATATCATTCCAATTCATACTTTCAAGTCAAAACCCCCCAATTCTCATAACCCTAATCCTCAAACATTTCAATTTATCATTAAATTAATTCAATCAAAATTTAATCACAAATTTACTAAGATAATACAACACTAAAACAACGGATTGCATACATCGTCATCCAAGGAGATTTAATCAAAAACCTAAGAGGATTAAGGATCATCTCATTACCATACCCCTCATATATTCCCATAGACTCAACTTCTCGCACTCACTTCACCTCTAGTGACAATTCTGTAACACAAGTGCATTCTCCATAGCCTTAGTCACTACTTCATACTTACTCCAGTGTCCTCTTCTATATTTAAAATTTGTATAAATAGATATTTTTAAACATATAAATTATATTTTAGATTTATGATAAATAATTTATATTGTAGTGATTTTTTATTGATAATTTATTTTAAAATATTAATATTTAATTCATAAATAGTTATTATAAATAAAATGCAAATTAGATAAAAAAGTTAAAAGAATGCACTACAAACTCTCTTATTAAAGAAAAACTCATAAAAATATTCTAGCTTAAAATTGTGATCATGTTTAATATAAAGGGATTAATTGTCATTTGAGATAAAGTTATTATTTTTTTATAATAATTATTTTGTAAATAAAATTTTCATGTTTTTTAATTAGTTGATAGTATATTTTTTTTTTGTTTATGATAATATCTCTGAACTTTTATATTATTGTATACTAGTAGGATTAAAAAACTCCGTGTGTATAATATAAAATAAAAAATGAGATTAAGTAATTACGAAAATTTATGAATCAATTAATGTTGCATTTTAGTTTTCAAACCTCAAGTTCTCAAACTCAATTCTTAGATTTATAAAAATAATTAATTTTTAATATTATTTTTATTATTTAAAAATTTAAGAATAAAATAGCTCAAAAATTATATATAAAAAATAGAAAAACACAAGTGCATTCTCCATAGCCTTAGTCACTACTTCATACTTACTCCAGTGTCCTCTTCTATATTTAAAATTTGTATAAATAGATATTTTTAAACATATAAATTATATTTTAGATTTATGATAAATAATTTATATTGTAGTGATTTTTTATTGATAATTTATTTTAAAATATTAATATTTAATTCATAAATAGTTATTATAAATAAAATGCAAATTAGATAAAAAAGTTAAAAGAATGCACTACAAACTCTCTTATTAAAGAAAAACTCATAAAAATATTCTAGCTTAAAATTGTGATCATGTTTAATATAAAGGGATTAATTGTCATTTGAGATAAAGTTATTATTTTTTTATAATAATTATTTTGTAAATAAAATTTTCATGTTTTTTAATTAGTTGATAGTATATTTTTTTTTTGTTTATGATAATATCTCTGAACTTTTATATTATTGTATACTAGTAGGATTAAAAAACTCCGTGTGTATAATATAAAATAAAAAATGAGATTAAGTAATTACGAAAATTTATGAATCAATTAATGTTGCATTTTAGTTTTCAAACCTCAAGTTCTCAAACTCAATTCTTAGATTTATAAAAATAATTAATTTTTAATATTATTTTTATTATTTAAAAATTTAAGAATAAAATAGCTCAAAAATTATATATAAAAAATAGAAAATCACTTTTTATATATAAAAATAAATGCCACAAATTAAAAGAGAGTAACAAGACAAGCCACAAATTGTGAGAGTAACAAGACAAGAAAAGCGTAGTTGTGACGAATTTATAACTCTAATATTGGGCCGAATTTTTTAATAACAAATTTAAATAAATATTAATTTATAATTGTTAATATATGTGTTGCTTATCTAACTTATTGATATAGTTTTTTTTTTAATTATAAGATTCATTAACAATAAAAATATATATCAACTTTTAATTAAAATTTTAATATAAAACTAAATAATTAACGAAAAATATATCTTTCATTTTTATTCTTTTAAGTTTATTTTTAACAATCTACTATAGCTAAAAGTAATAACTGAATTATAACAACTGAACTAAAAAAGCTAATTAAACAGTAAGTAAATATTTTTTTTAATAATATATTATAATACATATATTTTATCTGGTATAATTTTCCAAGAAGTCACTAATGCGTAGGAACCGAATTAAGTAAAGTGTAAGACAAAGAACTAAAATTGACAAGACAATATTTGCCCAAATATCGATATAACTTAATTCCAAACAAACAATACAAATTCATCAAGCAGTAATATTGTATCCGACACAGTAATAGCAACATCTAAGCAGCAAGACTCAAGAAACATGAAAATTCCATATGGGAAACTGTCCATTTTTCTACATTAGTATCATAACATATGATATAAAAATAGAAACCTTAAAACATGAACCAAATACGCATTTTGAGGAAGATCAGCATACATTTAAAGAAACTCATGTCCACCTCCGGTTTGGTGCAGCATTGCATCTATCTCATCACCATCCTCCATCTCTAGCTGTTCAAAGTTGTAATTTATCATAATTAAGATAAGAATAAGAAACAATTACATATGAGACGGACTATATTGCAATTGCATGGATACCAATAGGATATGAGATTAATATAAAATTATAAAATAATATGTATATATAAAAAAATAGAATTTTATATAAACATAACTAAATTGTGTAGAAACATAACTTATAACAAAAGCAGATTAAACTCTTTGACAAGAAAGCGAGGATGGTTGTGGAAAGAAGTTTTCAACTTTCAATGCAATGAATTAATGTTTGGGCATTGCATCACGTTCATGACCCCACCATTTAAAAAAGAAGATTAAACTCTTCCACTGAAGAAGAAAATGATTGTGAAAGAAAAGAAGTTTCTATGCAAATGCAATGGATTAATGTTTGAGGATTTCAATTCCACACCATTCATGACCCACATTTTTTTTTTCTAGTTTTGATTTATCTTATTAGAATTAAAATTGGTCAAGATCTTCTCCACCACTATAGGACTATGCACGAGTACCTAATATATATGTATCTGGTACGTGTACAGTTTCAGAGAAAGAGATCAAATATGCTACCACATTTTCTTGAAAGGAATGTATAGGAATACTGTGGTATCAATGAGTCATACAAATTCATTTTGAAGACTAATATAAGAAAATTTTACCAAACTATAAGTATATAATAACAAAATTATTCTTTGTATATAACAACTGAATGATGAAAGTTGAGTTTGTACTAGACTTTAAAAAAAAAAAAAAAAAAAGAAAATTTACCTCGTCAGGGGTCTGTTCTGCTCGGAGTCTCCTTCCATCAAACAAGAAAGCAATCGAGTTAAAGTCTACAGATTGCCGATCACAGTATGCATTCATCAGTTTCTTAAGCTGAGTGCTTCTTTTAATTCTGAAGAAAACCTCATTACCATCCTACAACATAATCAACCTCAAAAACATGAAAAATTCGCAAAGAAATTACCCCAAAAAGTAACTTTGCATTATTAGGAGATAATGACAGTTGAGTATAAGATATTATTAGAATGTCACATTTTCCTAAAAAGCCAGAAAATATAGGAAGGATAAGAATGAGAATAGGTTAGTTAAGGTTAAATTTTAAATATTTAGATCGAGCTTGTTTCACAAAATTAAATCTTAAATTTAATATATTATCTATTATAATTTTTGTTATAGGTTTGATCAATATTATTAAAATTTAAATTTTGAAATACATGTAATGTCACAAAGAAGAGAAAAAGTGAATCATTTTTTGATAGAGGAAAAATTAATGTACATTTATGTACGTTGATGTACACTCACAACTTTAGTCAATAAATATAATGAATATAAATCTATAATAAAAAAAGATAATTGTATAAAAAAATATTTTAAATATTTTCTATATCTAACTTGGTATATTCTAAATAACCAAGTCATATTTTAACAAATTAAAATAACTATGATAACAATTTACAAACTAAAAAAATACTCTCAAAGATATTAAATACATATACAATACCACAAGAGAAGGAATAAACCAAATTATCTTCTATTAAAGGGTTAACTCATATACATTCATGTATACGTATACTCACACACAAACTAAGATGAAAGAGGATAATCTTATTAAAATAATATATGTATATTAAATTTTGATTATATTATATAAATAAATAGATTGATTTATATGTTGAACAAACTTTTTTTTATAAATTTAACTTTTTAAACAAATAAAAAATTAAAATTAAAATATAAATTTTTTATTAAATATGTTGAATCATATCATATTTTTAAAAATCCGTACACATATTTTAATAATAAAAAAAAGTAACTAAGATAATTAGACGACAATGAACCTGCTATGTGGCAAAGGAATTCCTCTATAATGTATTAAAGAACTTTATATTGACAAATACAAAATAATTGTACTAAAGCATACAACTTTTAATTCCGTATCCACGTTATCAGATTTTCTATGTCATTACCATGCGAAGGCAAAGTATGAAGAGCTTAGCTCTGTTGCTTGAAACAGAGCATGAAGTCATGGCCTCTAAAAAAAATGTACGAGACCTCTTTCTAGTATCTAAGATATTTTAATTTTTTTTTCTCAACAATTAATTGATGTTTTAAAATTTAAAATTTAATTAATATTATTTTTTAAAAATATACCAATTATTTATTATTCAGTAATAGTAGCAAAAAAAAATAAAGTTGAATGTATTCAATAATCATGTATTACTTCAAATATAATAATATTTTCCTTCTTTTAAATATTCTATGTGCATTGACCTTAAATATTTAAAGATAGGAGTTAAAAGATATAGAAAGGAAGTAGAAATAGTTCTTATCAATTCACAGCTAAAGAAATTTATTTGACGAAAAGAAAAAAGGGTAAGCTTATTTACTAACCCATGACATAGTCTAGCAATTTGATGAAAATGGCAACTGAGATCTTTGAAAATTTTGTTATATTGGTCTCTCAATTTCATTTCAAACTTTTCTCAGAATAACAATTCTCCGATGATAGAAATCTAGTCATTTTAAATTAGTTATTTAATCCTTAAAATCACCAACAAAAATATTTTTAAACAAAGTAATACGAGTCTTCAACCTTTTTCAAAGGTTAGTTATGATAACTCGGCAAGCATGAAGCATGTCATTGCCAAAGACTTAAAAAGAGACACAGAGATTGAAAGTTCATAATTATTAAATTATAGATTAAAAATAAAAAATGAAAATGTTTAGAATTTCATTATAGAATTCAAAAAACAAAAAACTCATAAGTGTAGAAGTCTCTCTTAAACACTTCACAAAACATGCATGTCCTAGTGCGACTTTTAAATTATTTCTCTTCATTTTTCCTTGTGTATAAAACAAGTTCATACAAACCAGACAAATCAAGTGTATTGTCGGAATCCAAGTAATATGTAAATGTTCACAAATTCTAACATGAATGAAACCGTTGTACATTAAAAACAAGGCAAACAAAGACACTACATATCAAAACCAAGAACACAATTTTACTTGATGTTTTTGAACTACCACCACGAAATTTAACTAAGTGAAGGTGAATATAGAATTAAGACCTGGCCCTTGACTTTGAGATTAATGTGTGCTCCTTGATCAGAAGGCTTCTTCTCCTCTTCCTGGCTTCCTCTGCCTCCTGATGAAGACATCTTCACCTTGTTACTTTCACTTCAAATTAAGTCTCTGTTTCAGAAAAAAAAAATAGACTTGGTTTCTATTGCCAAACAAGACTCTATTGTCCTAAGTATTTATAGTGACATAAGGGTCCCAACCAAACTATCAAAGCACGTGCCAATGCGTTAGATTTACGCTATATAGATATTATATTTGTCCGTACTCGCCACTCCCGTGTCTCTCTGATCCCTCTTTGATCTCTACAATCAATAAAATAAAGTATACAATAGCTTCACTTCAAACTTAAAAGTACATAAAAAAATATGGAAAAAAAAATATATATATATATATCATAAAATAATTTTATAGTATTATTTTATTACAAATTATCTTGTAAAATAAAATTATTACTTTTTAAGATAATTATCTTAAAATTTGTATCAATAGTAAATTTTGATTATTTAATCATTAAATTTTTTATACTAACCATATATAAACTCTAATAATTTATTAAAGTTATACTAAAAATAGAATTATATTAATTTAATGATAAAATTTTTCAGTTATTTTTTGGAATTTAATTTTTATTTGATTTTGTTATATTATTTCATTCTATTTCATTTTTTTTCTCTTTCGTGGTTATAAAATGGTTATACAACTTTAACTTTTTTTTTTATATAAATTTTTAAAGTGCATTCCTTTTAATAGTAGTTATACAAGTTTAATTGGACAAAGGTGATGTTTTAAAGAATAATATTTAATGTATTTCTTTTATTTTTCACATCTATCGTATCTAAAAAAAATCTTAATTTAAAAAACTAAAACAATATAAAATATTAAAAAAAAAATAATGCAATAGGTGATTACCCTTGTGAGAAATTTATAGAGTAGAAAGAGAGAAAAATAAATTAAATAGAAAAGTAATAAAAGAGACTATTATAAAGATAAAATGCTCTATAAAATATGTACAACAAAAGGAATATTTCCTTTACTAGTAGGAAGGATAAAAATAATACTTCAATCATGATATTTATTTACACTCATTTACCATCATTAATGAAAGAAACTTAATTTTAATATTTTTCTACTATGAATAATTAAATAAAGGATTTAATTTGAAATAAATGTTAAAATTATAAACATTTATAATATAAGTTTTATATATATCACTTCTCAATAAAAGACTTCATAAAAGTTTTCAATAACTCTATTGAATAAAAAGAAACATAACTAAATAATGTATAAAATTAAAATAAGGCATAAACCGTCCATTTGAACAAAGCTCTGACATTGAACATGATTAAATTAAACTTGACTAATTCTAATTAAAATATTAAAACTATAAATCTTTATCTTGATATCACACTAATTAGGGCGCAAATTCCCAATCAAATAAAGCTCTAAGTCACTCTTCCATCAAATACCTCTTCCTATACCTAATATATTCCTTTAAGTGGCGATCAGTTGAAACACAAAAATAGGGAGTAAGAATACATTTTATCCATACACATCATATATAAGGCATAATGATAGACACAAACATCTACTATATTAAAACATCTCATATACATGTAAACCACCATCCATACATTTATAATAATCATTCGCATACATTCATCCAACATCCACACACTAGCAAGTCATATAATTTACTCGATCACAAAATGAGACTCGTGCAATGCATGCTCCTAACTCTACATGCATGCAGTACCAATCACTTCCTCATCATCATCATCAATACAAAATAGCTTGGGAGTCATGGAATGACACCACCCATCAATAGTGTAACGACCAGTCATCAATAGCGACCCCCTGAACTATCCTTAATTACGAGATGTTTTCAAGGTCCTATTTAAGTGTTACAACTGGTCTTGGTAGCCTCCTATTCCTCTTAGATGTTTCCTTACCATAACACCCATTGGATCATAGGTAGATGATCACATTACAATATTTCACTTGCATAGACTCACACTATCCTACGAATAAGGTATGCATGCATGGACTCAATAACGACATCACAACAACACAATATGCAGATTTATCCTTCTCATTTCATCATAGTACTTTTCACAATATGCATCATTACATCTTAACAATTCATTCTCATCATACTTATCACAACATACATAATCACATCCCAATAATTCATCACATCAATTCAATGATATCTCAAAATAACTTCTCATATGACATCATAAGTATTAGATTATTAAACTTCATTATTTAGTAAACTATTTACACATTAATATTCATTAAGTTATTCTCTTCATTCTTAGTTTTAATCTTTCATCTCAACTCCTCAATTATCAACTAATTCATAGAAACAACATCATAAGGAGAAATGGCATGGTGCCTAATGAGGTGAGACTCGCATTCGACACAGAGAGGTTAGGAACCTTTCTGCCAAACTCATGTTCGACAAGGGATCACGTGTGCATTCTTAGTCTTAATTTATCCTATTGGTTCCTCAATTATCAATTAATTTATAGAAACAGTATCATAAGGGAAAATGGCATGGCGCCCAAGGAGGTTAGATTCGCACCTGACGTAGAGAGGTTAGGGACCTCTCTACTAAACTCGTGTTTGGCATGAGATCACACGTGCTTATAGGATGACCTAAACATAAGGCTGCCCACGTCCTAGCTTTAGACCCCCAAAATATTTTTTTTTTTACTTATAGAACTTAATGAATTAGTTGTATCAATATTAATTTTGGTTTGTTGGTCATTATCTAAGCCTAGCATTGTAAGGACTGGGGTTCGATTCTAGTATTATAATTTTTTGCTGAAAATTCATTTTTTTTATGGGTCACTGTTGATTTTCTTTCCACTCTCATCTTTAAAAAGGCCCAACTTCAAAACTCGCTTTAGGCTTCAAAATATGTTGGGCTGGTCCTGCATGCTTAGCATGGGATTACATGTGCTTGTCATCACAAGGTTTATGACCTCTCTATCTCAATCACACCGGGCATGGCCATGCCCGGTATCCTCTTCTTCATAAAATCGACATCAAATGGCGTTGAGGCAACACTTTGCACCTAACATCGAGAGGTTTGGGACCTCTTTAGCAACTCCACACTGGACAGTACCATCCTCATGCTCGACATGTTGTAGAATCTGTACTTCATAAATTTTCAATCGACATAAGTCATTTTACCAAAATTGATTTATTTACATCAACTTAAGTTCAATTTACAATCCAAATGGTCAAATAATTGTTCATTACTCATATAATAATTTAATACCATCAAATCATGAAAAATTATCTAAAACAAGTTAAAATCCCCAAACTCATGCGTATAATAACCCTCATCCACAGACACATTAATTCATCATTACTAAATCAACTTGATCAGAAATCAATATATGAATACATAAAGTATAACAAGAATCAATTACTAATTGCATTTATACAAATTTACGCGGATTCTACACATCAACCTAAGGGACTTAGGGATCGTCCTTCTATCCTTATCGCTCATATATGACCAAAGGATTAGACAATCTCACTCTCTACCTGGAATCCGATCTTGCAAATAAATGTGCTTCTTACAACGATGACTGCTAATTTGCACCTTCTATGGTGGTCTCCTCTTATGAGTGTTCTAGGTTTTTCAGAAGATGTGCATGAATCTAATCTCTTTATCTTTTCTTCTTTTTAATTAACCTCTAGATTGGCCATAAATCTAGTTCATAATCATCTTATTTACTTCTCTCCTTTTACTTTATTAATAAAATATTTTCTTCATATTATACTTTAATTATTCTAATTTATTTATTATTTACTTTTACAAAAATTGAGATGTTACATAATTACTTATAAAATTAATTAAAAGTATCAAATAGTTAATTTAGTTTGATTTAACCTATCTTAGTCTTAATTTATCCTATTGGTTCCTCAATTATCAATTAATTTATAGAAACAGTATCATAAGGGAAAATGGCATGGCGCCCAAGGAGGTTAGATTCGCACCTGACGTAGAGAGGTTAGGGACCTCTCTACTAAACTCGTGTTTGGCATGAGATCACACGTGCTTATAGGATGACCTAAACATAAGGCTGCCCACGTCCTAGCTTTAGACCCCCAAAATATTTTTTTTTTTACTTATAGAACTTAATGAATTAGTTGTATCAATATTAATTTTGGTTTGTTGGTCATTATCTAAGCCTAGCATTGTAAGGACTGGGGTTCGATTCTAGTATTATAATTTTTTGCTGAAAATTCATTTTTTTTATGGGTCACTGTTGATTTTCTTTCCACTCTCATCTTTAAAAAGGCCCAACTTCAAAACTCGCTTTAGGCTTCAAAATATGTTGGGCTGGTCCTGCATGCTTAGCATGGGATTACATGTGCTTGTCATCACAAGGTTTATGACCTCTCTATCTCAATCACACCGGGCATGGCCATGCCCGGTATCCTCTTCTTCATAAAATCGACATCAAATGGCGTTGAGGCAACACTTTGCACCTAACATCGAGAGGTTTGGGACCTCTTTAGCAACTCCACACTGGACAGTACCATCCTCATGCTCGACATGTTGTAGAATCTGTACTTCATAAATTTTCAATCGACATAAGTCATTTTACCAAAATTGATTTATTTACATCAACTTAAGTTCAATTTACAATCCAAATGGTCAAATAATTGTTCATTACTCATATAATAATTTAATACCATCAAATCATGAAAAATTATCTAAAACAAGTTAAAATCCCCAAACTCATGCGTATAATAACCCTCATCCACAGACACATTAATTCATCATTACTAAATCAACTTGATCAGAAATCAATATATGAATACATAAAGTATAACAAGAATCAATTACTAATTGCATTTATACAAATTTACGCGGATTCTACACATCAACCTAAGGGACTTAGGGATCGTCCTTCTATCCTTATCGCTCATATATGACCAAAGGATTAGACAATCTCACTCTCTACCTGGAATCCGATCTTGCAAATAAATGTGCTTCTTACAACGATGACTGCTAATTTGCACCTTCTATGGTGGTCTCCTCTTATGAGTGTTCTAGGTTTTTCAGAAGATGTGCATGAATCTAATCTCTTTATCTTTTCTTCTTTTTAATTAACCTCTAGATTGGCCATAAATCTAGTTCATAATCATCTTATTT